CCGGAGACCCTGGAAGTCTGGAACCACGACCTGTACCGCTAGGAAATGACGACAATTACCACGGTACTCCCGCCTCACCATAAACGTCTAGTTCCGATGTTTTTATCTCTAGCTTGGGGTCTGCGTGGTCGAGTCGGTATAGCTCATGGTTGCTAAACTGAAAAGTCTCGAGTTCGAACCCTCGGGCAGATGAGGCTCGTTAGCTGGGGACAGCCACTCTTCTAGGAGAGACAACTCTAAAATTAAACAACTGCTGCCTTGTAGTTTGTTCTTGGTTGGACAAAGGCTATGGAAGCAAATCCAAAAAGAAAAGCAGGCTGAAATCGGAGTCAATGGCCTCAATGGCGCATAACCAGTTGACACGTAACGCTTAATAGTGTTGGAGGCGTGGTCGAGTCGGCAAAAAGCTCATGGTTGATAAATTCGAACAGTCTCGAGTTCAAACCCACTGGCAGATAAATCTCGAACCCCTTCAACACTAATAATTAAGAACGAAGAAGAAGAAGAAGAATCTCTAGCTCAGAGTATCATCACCCCCACATACCCCACCTCCGTGAGTATCATCACCCCCACATACCTCAGTGTTTGAGTATCATCTCCCCCACATACCCCACCTCAGTGTTTGAGTATCATCACCCCCACATACCTCAGTTTTTGAGTATCATCACCCCCTCACACCCCACCTCAGTGTTTGAGTATCATCACCCCCACATACCTCAGTGTTTGAGTATCATCACCCCCCCACACCTCAGTGTTTGAGTATCATCACCCCCCCACACCTCAGTGTTTGAGTATCATCACCCCCACATACCTCAGTGTTTGAGTATCATCACCCCCACATACCCCACCTCAAAGTTTGAGTATCATCACCCCCACATACCTCAGTGTTTGAGTATCATCACCCCCACATACCCCACCTCAAAGTTTGAGTATCATCACCCCCACATACCCCACCTCAAAGTTTGAGTATCATCACCCCCACATACCCCACCTCAGTGTTTGAGTATCATCACCCGAGACATGGGACCAAGTCCCGAGACATGGGACCAAGTCCCGTTTTGTCTAGTTTACCAACATTCTGTCAATCTTTACTTTCTCGTATACTATACTAAGTTGTTGTAATCGTGACAAAAAAAAATAGATTTTCACAGATCTCGACGTTTTACACCTCCCTAAGTAGAAAAAAAAGTTTTGCAATTTTGTTCGTGTGTATGTGTGTGTGTATTTTTGTATGTGTGTCTGTAAACACGATATCTTGAGTACCGTTACAGCTAGGTTGACGAAATGTCATATACAAGTATTATATAAAAATTTTGGCGATTTCCGATAAACGGAAGTGGAACTCATTCTGCTTTCATTTTTTTCAAAAGCCTATAACTTGAGTACTGTTTCAGATAGATAAATAAAATTATACATGTAAATAAAAGATCTAATTCTCTGCCTTCTGACAAATTTTGAGTAATTTCCGTCGTCCAGAAGTAGTAATATACTCTATTTCCGATTTCTCAAAAAACGCATGTGAATTTATAAAGTACTAATAATATTCCGCACTATTATACACATTTTGTTTGGCGTTTATTTGGTGCGCAATTCTTTTTTCTACGAGATTCTATTTATTTTTAAAAGTTTAAGTTATTAAAAAGGGATTTAAAATATTGTCTATACCCCGAGTTGCCATCCCCCGTAGTGTTATATAAGAATATTCGAGAAAGTTTAGGGGAGATTACTCCCGGTTTATTTACCACCATTCTCTCAATGTTTTACCACCTATTACTCTAGACTTGCATATGGTGTTAACCTTCTATGTCGCCGAGAAATTTCCGGTCAGAAAATGTGGGTACCATCTGTGCCAACAGAAAATGTGGGTACCATATGTGCCAACAGAAAATGTGGGTACCATCTGTGGGTACCATCTGTGCCAACAGAAAATGTGGGTACCATCTGTGCCAACAGAAAATACGGGAACCATCTGTGCCAACATAAAATGTGGGTACCATCTGTGGGTACCATCTGTGCCAACAGAAAATGTGGGTACCATCTGTGCCAACAGAAAATACGGGTACCATCTGTGCCAACAGAAAATGTGGGTACCATCTGTGGGTACCATCTGTGGCAACAGAAAATGTGGGTACCATCTGTGCCAACAGAAAATATGGGTACCATCTGTGCCAACAGAAAATATGGGTACCATCTGTGCCAACAGAAAATACGGGTACCATCTGTGCCAACAGAAAATGTGGGTACCATCTGTGCCAACAGAAAATGTGGGTACAATCTGTGCCAACAGAAAATGTGGGTACCATCTGTGGGTACCATCTGTGCCAACAGAAAATGTGGGTACCATCTGTGCCAACAGAAAATGTGGGTACCATCTGTGCCAACAGAAAATGTGGGTACCATCTGTGCCAACAGAAAATGTGGGTACCATCTGTGCCAACAGAAAATGTGGGTACCATCTGTGCCAACAGAAAATGTGGGTACCATCTGTGCCAACAGAAAATGTGGGTACCATCTGTGCCAACAGAAAATGTGGGTACCATCTGTGCCAACAGAAAATGTGGGTACCATCTGTGCCAACAGAAAATGTGGGTACCATCTGTGCCAACAGAAAATGTGGGTACCATCTGTGCCAACAGAAAATGTGGGTACCATCTGTGCCAACAGAAAATGTGGGTACCATCTGTGGGTACCATCTGTGCCAACAGAAAATGTGGGTACCATCTGTGGGTACCATCTGTGCCAACAGAAAATGTGGGTACCATCTGTGCCAACAGAAAATGTGGGTACCATCTGTGCCAACAGAAAATGTGGGTACCATCTGTGCCAACAGAAAATGTGGGTACCATCTGTGCCAACAGAAAATGTGGGTACCATCTGTGGGTACCATCTGTGCCAACAGAAAATGTGGGTACCATCTGTGGGTACCATCTGTGCCAACAGAAAATGTGGGTACCATCTGTGCCAACAGAAAATGTGGGTACCATCTGTGCCAACAGAAAATGTGGTTACCATCTGTGCCAACAGAAAATGTGGGTACCATCTGTGCCATCGTGATTTATAATTGCCAGATACGACATACTCCATCCCCTGACACACCCTCCATGTACGACAAAGCCCCCCCCCCCCACCCCCTAGTGTCTGTCCCATCCCCCTCCTCCATTACGTCATTGCATGCACCCCCCCCCCCCATCACTTTAGATGCGGTATTTCCCAGTCGATTGAGTGAATCCACGCCCTACTCCCGTTAGCTGCCTATGATTGCACCGTACCTGACACCCTGAAACCCTAGAGCCTGTATTGCAGCAGTCTGACTACCGCTCGTCCACCTGATCTCTGCTGCTACCTCTCCTGGATGCCCAGACCCCGTCCCCTCCCACCAGCCCAGACCCCGTCCCCTCCCATCAGGTCGGGTCGGGTTTCATTTTCCTGCAGAAACCAGATCGCCCGTGTTGGCATTTACTTGATATCGCTGCAGTCTGTAATAATAGTTTGTCGGCGTCGTTTGATTGAAGGCTGCTTTAGGGGGTCGTGGCTTTGATCAGATGACGTCATCATTTCGGTGGTGTCCTGTGTACACGTGTCACGTTATGACGTCAACAGTTTTAGTGGTGTCACATGATGTCGTCTGCTGTAACCCCATGCCCCTGCCCCCCCCCCCCCCCCCCAAGATGGTGGGCAAACCTGCGCTTTAAGTAAATGACGTTTCACGTTTCTGATTGGCGCGTAGGGTCACGTGGTGTCACGTGGCCTCACGGCTCATACAGGAAGTGTTACAGTTGTAAACAACCGCAGATTTTTATATGGATGGCATCCGTCTAAACAGTAGCAACCATCGCAACAACATGACCAACAATGGCAGCCATACAGCCAATGACAGCCATACTGCCAATGACAGCCATACAGCCAATGGCAGCCAGACAGCCAATGGCAGCCATAAAGCCAATGGCAGCCATAAAGCCAATGGCAGCCATAAAGCCAATGGCAGCCATAAAGCCAATGGCAGCCAATGACAGCCATACAGCCAATGACAGCCTTACAGCCAATGGCAGCCATAAAGCCAATGGCAGCCATAAAGCCAATGACAGCCATACAGCCAATGACAGCCATACAGCCAATGACAGCCATACAGTCAATGACAGCCAGACATCCAATGACAGCCATAAGCCAATGACAACCATACAGTCAATGACAGCCATACAGCCAATGACAGCCATACAGCCAATGACAGCCATACAGCCAATGACAGCCATACAGTCAATGGCAGCCATACAGCCAATGACAGCCATACAGCCATACAGCCAATGGCAGCCATACAGCCAATGACAGCCATACAGTCAATGACAGCCATACAGCCAATGACAGCCATACAGTCAATGACAGCCATACAGTCAATGACAGCCATACAGCCAATGACAGCCATAAAGCCAATGACAACCATACAGCCAATGACAGCCATACAGTCAATGACAGCCATACAGCCAATGACAGCCATACAGCCAATGACAGCCATACAGTCAATGACAGCCAGACATCCAATGACAGCCATACAGTCAATGACAGCCATACAGTCAATGACAGCCAGACATCCAATGACAGCCATACAGTCATACAGCCAATGACAGCCATACAGCCAATGACAGCCATACAGCCATACAGCCAATGACAACTATACAGTCAATGACAGCCATACAGCCAATGACAGCCATACAGTCAATGACAGCCATACAGCCAATGACAGCCATACAGTCAATGACAGCCATAAGCCAATGACAACCATACAGTCAATGGCAGCCATACAGCCAATGACAGCCTTACAGCCAATGACAGCCATACAGCCAATGACAACCATACAGTCAATGACAGCCATAAGCCAATGACAACCATACAGCCAATGGCAGCCATACAGCCAATGACAGCCATACAACCAATGACAGCCATACAGCCATACAGCCAATCACGTGACCAAATGATGTAACACCTCAGTCTCCCGTCATGTTGTTATTCCCAGTTTATTGACATGAAATCATTCTTCTGCCACACAAATGGCGAGTACAAATATTTTTTTTCTTTTCTAACGTGAGTTTGACAATTTTTTTTTCTGACGTAACGCAGTCAGGATAATAATTTTCTCTAACGTAGTCAGGATAATAATTTTTTCTAACTTGAGTCTGGATGAGAATTTTTCTAGCGATGTTAAGATACAGCAGCAAGATCACATTTAAAAAACTGTTGTACTAATTGCTTTCAGATGTTCTTATAATAAACTGAGTCATCTAACTATTTTATTGTTTTATAATAACATTTAAAACAAGCATATCTTTTTTTTATCTATTCGTCCAAGAAAAAGAGAAACGTATTAAAAAATAGTCTTGAAACATTATTTCCGGCAAGTTGCCTCCCTCTAGTTTCAGCAGTAATTACTTCCCTTGATTCTGCAGTCGTTGATCTACCGCAGGCTCACCTGATAGGGGGAGGGGGGGGGGTCTATTCGCCTGTCGCTGTCTGAAACAAAAGATACAAAAATCACAAGTTAAAGATGGTCTTCTCACTCGTCACACTCATGTCAGCGGCGTGATGGTGTCACGTTGTCATGTCACAATAACGTGTGGCGTGATGGTGTCACCTTGTCATGTCACAATAACGTGTGGCGTGATGATGTCACCTTGTCACTGTCACAATAACGTGTGGCGTGATGGTGCCACGTTGTCACTGTGACAACATTGTGTGGCGTGATGGTGTCACGTTGCCAAACTGTCACAACATCATGTGGCGTGATGGTCTCATGTTGTCATGTCACAATCGCGTACGGCGTGACTGTCACACCTAGTCACCCCGTCATAGCGAGGTGTTCTCTAATTGAGTACGTCTCAAGTTTTAGTTCCATAGCCTTTTAATTATTTTCTTTCCCTTGTTGGAATAGCTATCTTAAATTTCAGTTGCTCTGTTAAGTGATCCCATGAAACACATCCTTTCATGTTAATTGCTGGAGGTTTCTTTTGTATTTCTAGCTATAAACAAATGTTTTAATTATAGGTTGTCGGTTATTTTAAGGACTGGAAGCGTTCATCTACACTAAGGATTCACTTTTTGAGGTCTTGGTCTTAATTGTGAGCTCATGTTTATTCCAGTTCATCTGACAGCTGCTCAATCACCCACGGAACTAGGTGTCATTTACCTGGATCGTGTGAGGTGTTACCACACCCCTACGATCACCACCACACCTGTAAGATCACCACCACACCTTTAAGATCAATACATAGGTCCCTACCTCTAAAAGTTCTCTAAGCCCAACTGGCACGTCCGCCAAACACGTCTTCTGGATCCTGGCCACTTCCTCCTGGAAAATAGAACATTTATTTAAAGCCATATGCGAGGCGTTGTATTTTATAGCGATATGCGAGCTTTTTTTTTATTTTATAGCAATATTCGAGGTGCCGTATTTTATAGCGATATGCTAAGTATTTTAAAAGCAATATGCGAAGTGTTGTATTTTATAGTAATATGTGTCATATACGCCAATTGAACAACATACCACACACATCGAATAGCATACTCTACACTGCGGACAGCATACCCTAAGAAAACAGCATCCACATAGAATAGCATTAAACATTCAGGTAAATCCATCAGCAGTCTGTTAAGAATTCCCCTTAATCTCAGGGGCGACTACTGACTATCTTAAGTCTGTCTTACGCTTTGATTCACCTAATCATCTGCTGCGTTGCAAATGACCCATCGTTCAAAAGTGTATCATCTGACGTGTAGGACGTTAAAAAGTGTATTATCTGGCGTGTGGGACGTTCAAAAGTGTATTATCTGGCGTCTAGGACGTTAAAAAGTGTTGACGTGTAGGACGTTAAAAAGTGTTGACGTGTGGGACGTTAAAAAGTGTTGACGTGTGGGACGTTCAAAAGTGTATTATCTGGCGTGTAGGACGTTAAAAAGTGTTGACGTGTAGGACGTTAAAAAGTGTTGACGTGTGGGACGTTCAAAAGTGTATTATCTGACGTGTAGGACGTGTCGGACGTTCGTTAAGCGTGAATGAGCTCCCGTAAACTTTCTCGTGTATTCCAATCTAGAGTAATCGGGCTATAGAAATGTAAAAATGTGTAACAAACCGCCCGTTTTGTGTTTCATTCAGCAGTTGCGAAACGGTCTTAGAAAAATGATCCTTTATGAGAATATGATATCAAATGATCGAATTCTCGAGGTTTTTGAGAAATGGGAAATAAACTACGACATCGGGTGGATAGAAAACTATGTCACACACATACAAACAGACACACGGTGCTGGAAATTAAAAAAACAAAACAAAATTCCCGTGACATAAGTGTTGTCTTATCACACTTCTCCCTGCTGGGGCCGTGTGTTTGTATGTGTGCGCTTACAGATATGTTGTCAAGAAAAGAATGAATGAATATGTTTTTATGTGTATGTGCACGCTTTTAGATATGTTGTCAGGGAAAGAATGAATGAATATGTATGTTTTTATTTGTATGTGCATGCTTTTAGATATGTTGTCAGGGAAAGAATGAATAAATATATGTGGGCTGTTATTCTTGGCGTTGTACCACGGCAGAGTGATGAAGCCAGAACACAATACTCGAGTAAACTACGTTCTTTCCATTACTAAACCAAGGTCACTTGAGTTTCATTAAATAGTTATTAAGCGATGAATATTAATAGCTAATTAAAAAGGATAGTTGACTTTAAAAAAATGATATTAATTTTCTCTTAATGCTTTACACTGACTGGGATTTCCCGATCGCTTAAAATAGGTCATGTGTGTATTTTCATCGTTACATATGGGCGATTATGGTGACTAGTCAGTACAATCTTTGTACACAACTAGCCTGTTATGTCTCTTCATGGTGACCATCAAATAACCCACATGGCCCCATCAATGGTGACCACAGGGGACAACTACTTGCAGTACTTTCATAAAGTGCTCAGGACAACTACTTGAAGTACTTTCATAAAGTGCTCAGGACAACTACTTGAAGTACTTTCATAAAGTGCTCAGGACAACTACTTGCAGTACTTTCATAAAGTGCTCAGGACAACTACTTGAAGTACTTTCATAAAGTGCTCAGCTTACTCAAACACTGGTGACTACTTTCATCAGCGTCTAATTTTTTTAGCCAATCAGAAAGTAATTAACCCCCCTCCCCCAGAACACACACACACACCCCTATAGATAGGAAGTAGACAGAACAGTTTGCACCTGAAGGATCACGTGATGATAGTGAACGGAAAAGCTGGCGCTAATACCGAGTATTGCCCATCAGCTTTTGTCCCTAGTGATCCCCACCCCCCTTGGTCGCTGGCTGCACCCCCGGGGCACATTTGTTTAGATTGCCGTTATTTATCGAAGTGAGGTTCTTGGTAGCAATCTTAGTCCCAGTTATAGTTAGCCTCAATACGTCGTCATTGTTCGTGTTTAGGTCAAGAATTTTGTTGACATGATCAATGTTCGTGTTTAGGTCAAGAATTTTGTTGACGTGATCAATGTTCGTGTTTAGGTCAAGAATTTTGTTGACGTGATCAATGTTCGTGTTTAGGTCAAGTGTTATGTTAATACTTGCCGTTCGCTGAGTTTTAAAAGTTATGTCAGATTTTGAAGTATTTTATTTGCCAATTTGAGCTGTCAAATTTTGTGATTTTGTTTTGGGTCCATATGTCTTAGTCATGACCTCCAAATGTCGTGATTTGATCCACTATGACCCCAAAATGTCGTGTTTTGATCTAGGTATGACCTCCAAATGTCGTGATTTGACCCACTATGACCCCCAAATGTCGTGTTTTGATCCACTATGACCCCCAAATGTCGTGATTTGATCCACTATGACCCCCAAATGTCGTGATTTGATCCACTATGACCCCCAAATGTCGTGATTTGATCCACTATGACCCCCAAATGTCGTGATTTGATCCACTATGACCCCCAAATGTCGTGTTTTGGTCTAGGTATGACCCCCAAATGTCGTGTTTTGTTCTAGGTATGACCTCCAAATGTCGTGATTTGATCCACTATGACCCCAAAATGTCGTGTTTTGATCTAGGTATGACCTCCAAATGTCGTGATTTGACCCACTATGACCCCCAAATGTCGTGTTTTGATCCACTATGACCCCCAAATGTCGTGATTTGATCCACTATGACCCCCAAATGTCGTGATTTGATCCACTATGACCCCCAAATGTCGTGATTTGATCCACTATGACCCCCAAATGTCGTGTTTTGATCTAGGTATGACCCCCAAATGTCGTGTTTTGTTCTAGGTATGACCTCCAAATGTCGTGATTTGATCCACTATGACCCCCAAATGTCGTGTTTTGATCTAGGTATGACCCCCAAATGTCGTGTTTTGATCTAGGTATGACCTCCAAATGTCGTGTTTTGATCCACTAGGACCCCAAAATGTCGTGTTTTGATCTAGGTATGACCTCCAAATGTCGTGATTTGACCCACTATGACCCCCAAATGTCGTGTTTTGATCCACTATGACCCCCAAATGTCGTGATTTGATCCACTATGACCCCCACATGTCGTGATTTGATCCACTATGACCCCCAAATGTCGTGTTTTGATCTAGGTATGACCCCCAAATGTCGTGTTTTGTTTTAGGTATGACCGCCAAATGTCGTGATTTGATCTACTATGACCCCCAAATGTCGTGTTTTGATCTAGGTATGACCCCCAAATGTCGTGTTTTGTTCTAGGTATGACCGCCAAATGTCGTGATTTGATCCCCTATGACCCCCAAATGTCGTGTTTTGATCTAGGTATGACCCCCAAATGTCGTGTTTTGTTCTAGGTATGACCTCCAAATGTCGTGATTTGATCCACTATGACCCCCAAATGTCGTGTTTTGATCTAGGTATGACCCCCAAATGTCGTGTTTTGTTCTAGGTATGACCTCCAAATGTCGTGATTTGATCCACTATGACCCCCAAATGTCGTGTTTTGATCTAGGTATGACCTCCAAATGTCGTGATTTGATCCACTATGACCCCAAATGTCGTGATTTGATCTAGGTATGACCCCCCAAATGTCGTGTTTTGATCTAGATATGACCTCCAAATGTCGTGTTTTGATCTAGATATGACCTCCAAATGTCGTGATTTGATGACATCCGTTGCTCTGACAAGTTTGGAGGTCATGACTAAAACATAACAGCGTGTGTTTGATTGTAAAAGAAAGAGGATTCGGCTTTCACAATGGTTTAAAAAGAAATGGAAAAAGAATATACAAGATCGTGGGATGGTGTCTATAGAATAAAGATAATCCAACCGCAGTTACAGTATTCTTTTTACAAAACAACCATAAAGTCAAAAATGCAAGAGAATTATTTTTTTAACTATAAAAAATTGATTATGGTCGGCTGTGGGCCCCTAAATGGCGTGCGCCACCCCCCCCCCCCCGCATTGCGGAGTCTGCCGACACTGTAGTTCCGCCCCTGATTAGTGTATGTATTTATGGGGGTGGCCGTTTTGACGCCCCCACCCCCCTGTAACTGTGCATACGTTCGATGGTTTATTTCCGAGCCGGTCGATTTGTTCCATCTCCCTGCCTGTGTGTGTGTGGAGGGGGGGGGGTCATTGTGTGGGAGGCGACTTGTAATTATCATGCTTAACGACGACATTGGTAGCCTCCCAAAAGTCGAATAAATCCTCAAAGTTTAATCTCTAGCAACTCATGACTGAGAAATGACAAGATCTAATGTTACACCAGGGAGGCACAAGTTAGCTGCTAGTATTTAGGTGTTAGCTTTTATTTGGGCATCACCATGTGCTGTTTATTGACCAGACTCTCATCTAATCTTGGCGGGAATATTGCAAGGCTCGACCCAGCGAGCTTTCTGCTGACACGCGATACGTCTGCTGACAAATCTAGCTGTTGATTCCAAAGTTGGCGGTTTATTTTTGGTATCTGGTACATCTGTCTGATCGTTTTTGGTCGGATTAGGTAGTGTAGGCTAGGGTGGGTGGGGTGTTATAACTCCCCCACCCCTACATGTACCCCACAGATGACAATTTCCTCCATCCAGCTACAGCTACCGACGGCAGTACTCTCGCGACGCTTTATGTGTAGCGTTTCACAATACGCACAGCAGGGGAGAAACCATTTGACTTCTTGTAATCGTTAGGGCATGTATATATTATATATCGGGAACAAGTATGTTTACAATGTTGCCCTCCTAGTTGGTAAATTTCCTCCTGTGATGACCTGTATGTGTGGGTGTCCTGTGGTGACCTGTATGTGTGGGTGTCCTGACTGTGGTGACCTGTATGTGTGGGTGTCCTGACTGTGGTGACCTGTATGTGTGGGTGTCCT